TAGGAGTCTAAAATGTAACTAAGTTAAGTTAAAATTAATTAACTTTTTAACTTTTTAACTGAACTTTTAACTTTTTAATTTAGCACTACCCAACCCTGCTGATATCCATGCTCAATTCTTCTGAACTATCGTCCGAAAAGCTGCTCTCACTTACTTTTGATGTTTCAAGCAAGTTGAACAGTGTTTCTTTTGTAATCCTCTGTAAAAATATTTAATTATTGATTTCATTTCACTACAGTATTCTGTGAAGTATAAAGTGGAAGTGTCATACTTAGTGTCAGTATAAGTGCTCCCATTTGGGAGCAGGACCTTTACGCAAAGCTATAGACATACCTTTAATGTGGGTTAAATTTATAAGAATTCATTAATATTATTTTTTTTAAAAAAGATCAGAACGAAAAAGGGCTACGAGCCTAAAATTTAGTCGTTATAAAATTGAAATTATTAAGAAGTCACAGAATAAAAACATGTCATTTCGTTATAATATAAACTTTAATTTGCCGGCAATAAACAATAAAACTAATAAATAAAACAAAAACAGGTTGGTCGGCTTTCATGGCTTTCCAGCCATTCTGCAGACTGCCTATTGGACTCAGGCATATGGTAATGGACCCACGTTTCATCCATCGTCACAAAACGTCGAAAAAAGTCCGCTCGATTATGCTGCAACAACGCCAACCCGGCCGTTAAATCATCAACGCGCTGCTGTTTTTGGTCGACGGTCAGCAAACGCGGCACCCATCGCGCCGATAGCTTTTTCATCTCCAAAAGATCGTGCAAAATGTATCCCGCCCGTTGTTTTGCGATGCCCACGGCCTCAGCTAACTCGCGCAACTTCACTTTACGATCACTCAAAACGATTCGATGCACTTACTTTACGATTTCCGCATTCGTAGCCTCTTTTTGCCTTCCAGAGCGAGGTGCGTCTTCGGTGCTTGTACAACCCATTTTAAATTCACTAAACCACCGATAAACTGTTGTTCTCGAAGGAGCAGATGTGGGATAACATTTCTGCAACCATTGCAATAATTTTTCAGAAGTTTTTCCTATCAAAAAACAATGTTTGATCAAGATGCGATATTCCTGTTTTTCCATTTTTTTTACGAAGGCGAAAGTAGCGTCACTCAAACGACTGTAGCTTGTAAACGAATGGACGAAATGTCATAAAACTTCATACATAAACTAGTGACAGATGAGCCTCTCGAAATGAGTCATGTTCATTTTCTAGTGGCGCCACCTATCGAAAAATCCCGGGACTTTTCAGCCCATGTAGTATGTTAGAATAAGATAGATGTTATGTGAAAAAATTATCGTATTCTATATAGTTGGCAACATAATGTGACATTTAGGTTATTAAATAATTAATTATTCAATGACTTAAATGAATAATTAATTATATAACAACGGTGGAATAATTTTTTTATAACATCTATCTATTTAAACATATAGGGACATTTTCGGAATAAATTGTATAGATTCACATAAGTCATCCTGTCATTTATTTTATATTAAATCAGATAATGTGACAAAGAAGCCTGTATATTCAGATAGGTATTCTGTCGTTTAAGTAAGATAAGATATAAAACGATAGACTTTTATAGATTTGTTGTGTATGCTGAAATATGCGAAATAATTATTCGATGATCTGGATGTTATATTGCCAACGATAGGATACGATTAATTTTCTATGACATCTGTCTTATTCAAACTGTTTTCGAGTTAACTTGACACAGCTATTAATTATCAGTGATTTATTAAATCACAACGAAAAACTTAATCAGTCATACTTGGCGAGGCCATGGTGCAACGCTCCAATCTCGAAGTGTCCCCCCCAAAAAAGGGGGGGATATTCTAGAACAAAGTGTCGCTGGTTCTGCCAGTATACAATCGGGCGAGACAAAGCAGAAGTGCGAGATTTAAACTAACTCTAATACTCCCACTAATTGAGCGCTTTCTTAATACCTAACTTGAATCTCAATTTTTCAAACTGACTACATGCGATGGGTTTGGTTAAGGTGTCCGCAAGTTGTTGCTCACTTGGTACATATAGTGCATCTATGTCACCATTGATAAACTTCTCTCTAATGTAATGATATTGCACATTCACATGTTTTGTGCGCTTGTGAAATTCAGGGTTGCGGATGAGTCTGATCTCACTCTGGTTGTCAACAAAAATTGATGTTGGTTTATTGACTGCTTCTTGCACTTCACGCAGCAGTTGACGTATCCATACGGTTTCCTTGGTCGCACTTGAGGCCGCTATATATTCTGCCTCGGTTGACAGGGAGACAGTCAACTGGCGTTGACTATTCCAAGTGACTGGTCCATTACTCAACATGAACACATAGCCTGTTGTCGATTTCCGAGTGTCAACATCACTGGCGAAATCCGAATCCGAAAACCCTTGGACGGTTTCGGATCCTTGACTTCTCTCATATAATATCCCACAATCCATGGTCTTCTTTAGGTATCTCATGATTCTCTTAACCGCATTCCAGTGGGGATAGCCATATTTGTCAAGGAATCTGCTTACAACTCCCACTGAAAATGCAATATCTGGTCTCGTGACGATGGCAGCGAATATGAGGCTGCCGACTGCTTCTCTATATGGCACTTCATGTATCGTTCTTTCCTTCCCAGTTGAAGACAAGTGTGTATGATTGTCGGCCGGAGTGGAGACTTCATTGGCATCTTCCATGTTAAATTTCTTTATGATGTTACGGATATAGTTTCTCTGGTGTATGAATATTGTTCCTTTGTCCTTGTCTTGAATAATTTCCATACCAACGAAGTGTCATACATTTTCACAGACTGTGATTTCAAAGCTTGCTTGCAGCCGGGTAATGATCGTTTGTAGTTCTATTTCGTCGTCTCCCATGAGCAGTCCGTCATCTACGTACAGTGCGAGTAAAACCCTGGAATTGCTCAGTATCCTTTGGTAGACACATCTATCCGCGCTACCCTGCTTGAATCCTATAGATTTCAGGAAATTGTCGAATCGTTCATTCCATCTTCGAGATGACTGTTTAAGGCCATATAGAGTTTTCCTCAACTTGCACACCAGTCCAATCTCAATTTTTATTCCTTCCGGCTGCGACATATATACGTCTTCTTGCAGCTCACCATTTAGGAATGCAGTCTTTACATCGAACTGCTTTATTTTATAATTCTTTTCTACTGCTAATGCTAACAGTATTCTCACCGAGTCGTATCTGACTGTTGGTGAGAAAGTATCGGTGTAATCTACACCCTTTTTCTGCGCATATCTTTTTGCGCAGAGCCTTGCTTTGAAGCGTCGGCAATTCTCATTATTAGTCGGCTTCAAACTAAAAACCCATTTAGAGTCACTGATGTTCTTGTCCTTTGGCATAGGGACTACATCCCATGTTTCGTTTCTGGCAAGCGCGCTTATTTCCTCTTGGATGGCCTCACTCCATTTCTTTTTTTCTTTACTTTGTATTGCTTCGTTAAAGGTTTGCAGTATATGGACATCAGCTATATTGGCTTCGTAACGCATTGGTTTCTTCAACTGTTCTCGAGTGCGTAATTCATATCGCGGGGATTTACCATGGTTGTCTTCAAGCTCATCGGTAGCCTCTTCCTCTCTTTTCTCGTCGCATGATTCTTCTGTCGGTTCCGTCTCCTGATTCAAGACTTATCCTTGCGATGTTCTTCCTTTCTTCAGGCGTTCCTCCATCTTCGTTGAACGAAACGTTCCTCGAGACTTTTATCCTTTTCGATTCTGTATCGAACAGGCGATAGTTCGTTGAATTGCCTTCATATCCAACAAACACTAATTTCTTACTTTTGGGAGCAAGCTTGTCACGAAGTTCCTTCGGCACATGCATGAATGCTTCGCATCCAAAGATTTTGATGTGGTCCTGGACATTTCCCTGTCCACATTTCAAACGGAGTCAAGTTTGGAGTCTGAGTCGTTGCTGTCCTATTTAGGATGTAAACCGCCGTGTTTACTGCCTCGGCCCACAGATACAATGGAACATCTCTGGCATATAGCATGGAGCGGGCACTCTCTACGATCGTTCGCATATCACGCTCGGCTCTCCCATTTTGTTCAGGGGTATAGGGAGCTGTTGTTTCTAAGTCCATTCCCACCTGTGACAGATATTTCTTAAATTCCGCGTTACAGTATTCACGTCCACTATCAACATGTAGAATTTTAACCGGATTCCCTAACTTATTTTCGCTTACAGAACTGCTTAAAGCATTCTAGTGTATCATCTTTGTGCTTTATGAAGAATATGACTCTGTAACCAGATAAATCATCCTTAAATAGTACAAAATATTTAGCGCCTTGTGAACTGACGGCACGGACATAGGACCACATAGATCGCTATAAATACTTTCCCCTAACTTCGCTTTTATGTGTCCCGATGAAGCAAAAGACAATTTGTGTTGCTTACCATACATGCATGCCTCGCAAAAGAAATTGTTTGTATCCGACAACTCTACACTTTCAATCAGCCCTTTTGTTACCAAGTCTTTAATGTATTTTATATTGATATGGCCTAACCGCTTATGCCATTTGCGCAAACTGTCTTCTACTGCTACATTTACTTCTTGCGGGAGAATCGATCTAAACTGCATATGATACAGATTATTTTCTTTACTCTTACGCTACCGCTATTAACTCATTGTTTTCGTAAATGTTCGTACAGTTATTTTCTTTTACTATTTTCATGCCCTTTTTTGTAATTACACCTTCAGAAAATAGATTCCTATTCATATTTGGAGCATACAATACATTCGTAATAACAGAATCATACCATTCACCTTTCAACCATTTTTTAATCTTTACATTACCCTTTCCTTTCACGTACAATTCATGGCCATTTCCTAAGGTTACGAAAGAATTGTCACTTGCTTCATGAAAGTCGACCAGAAAGTCCCGACGATGTGTCATATGTTGCACCGCTGTCAAAAATCCATTCTTCATTATCTAAACTCTGAATTGCGTCTTCACGCTCAACAACATTGAAGGCTGTATAATTTCCTTGCTGAAAATTCTGCTGTGCCTTGCTTTTCACTGACTTTCTTTCTCCTCGACATTCACCAGCAAAATGACCCTTCCTTTGGCACCTGTAACAGATAATCTTAGTTTTATCAAATTTCGGACGCTGTCTTTTGTCTTCCTGATTGTCCTTTTTGTGCACGCTGGTTACTGAGACGAGAGCTTTCTCAGCCTCGTCCGATGCTATGAGACTCGTATCTTTGTCTATTAAACACGAGGTTAGATTTTTAATTGTTTGTTTTGTCTCATCTAGAGATAACCAAGCTTAACGAAAGCTTCTAAATTTGGTCGGCAGACTTCCAAGAATCTTGGTCATAATCGCCGTATCGCTAATTGTTTCACCGGAATCTTTTATTTGTTGCGCGAGGTTTTCGATTTTCGCGATATGTTGCGCGATCGAATCAATCGGATCCATCTTATATTGCGAAAATCTTTCGTGTGCTAACATCTTGTTGACTTCCGTTTTCTGCTCATAGACTGCATTTAATTTCTCTAATATCTCTTTTGACGATTGGCAATTCTCGATGAGCGTGATCTGAGAGAAATCCATCGCAGATGTTATCAGAAACATAGCACACGCGTCCTCCCTTAATCATTTCTTGCTTGCTGCTGTCTGAATTGATATTGACGCTTCCGCCGTCCCCGTCACTTCCGGCTTTATGTCGATGCCTCTTGCAATGTCATGGAGACCTTTGGCTCGTAGGGCACAAGTGATTTGAAACTTCCATTGATGGTAATTCTTTCCATCAAACTTACTGATCGCAGCTGTGTCAATTTTGTTATCCGACATTTCGGTCAACAATCTACCCAAGTAACACGATCTATAATATATTTGCTGCAACAGCAAAAATGTGACTGGCACAACCTTCTGCCAGCCTTAATTACAACTATTTGGCAGCCACAGCTATTTTGGCTGTATTAATTGCTGTACAATCGTTGTAACAGCTAAGAAAAAAGTAAAAATACAGCCACAGCTATTTTGGCTGTATGGGTAGCTGTACAGTCGCTGTGACAGCTAATAAAAAAGTAAAAATACAG